ACCCCCCACCCTCACCCTCCTGGCCTCACCCCACCTCTGCCCTCACCCCTGCTCTAACCCACTGCCCTCAGCCCCCACCTCTGACTCAACCCCTGCCCTCACCCCTTCCCCAGCCCTTAACCCCTCACCCCTGCCCTCGCCCCACCCCACCCCGGGCACGCTGGTGTGAGACAGAAAGGAGGGAGACATCTTCCTGGTCCCTGCTTCTCTCTTGCCCACAGCAAATGCCCACAGTTGTCCTGGAGGACGCCCGTCTGGTGGGGGCCGGTGCTGTCTCCACGCACCTTTGCTCTGAGAGCCCGGGCCCAGCTCCCGGAGGACCGGGTGAGGGTGACGCTGCGCCGCCTGTCCCCCGCCCAGAGCCTGGGCGAGGCGTCCTCACACAGCGCCCACGGGGCAGCGCCAGCTGCTTTGGGGGTGACAGGCGCCGGGGCGCCTCAGGGGCCAGCTGCAGTGGCAGCACGTGGCCACCAGGGGCCGACCGGGCGGCCCAGCTGAGGCCTGCTGGTGGGGAGCCTCTTTGCAGCCTCATCCTGCTCCCCCAGCTCCCGCAGGCCCAAGGCGTGGCCGCCTCTCGGGGCACAGGTGTGAGTGGCATCAGCGCCGGCCGGGGTGGCCAAGGTGGCTTCCTGGGGCGCCTGCCCCCGCCCCCCGCAGCCTGGCCTGGGTCTCAGAGCTCGCACGGGCCGGGCACCCCCAAACGCGACCTGTCCACTGGTGACCGCAGCCGTCTGTTGCTCCCCCCGGCTCTGCAGGGGATGAGGGGGGCCAGCAGGCAGTGGGGCCCCTCACCCCACTCGCCTGTGACGCTGAAGCCACCTGCTGTCTTAAGGGCCTTGGCAGGGCTGAGCGCCCCACGGTGACTTCATGGCAGTTTCTGTGTGGGAGCCCCGAGGCGCCCCCACGCTGGGGGAGTGAACCCTTAATCGGTGGCTCCTGGCCTGTGCCCTCCTTAAGAACAGCTCCGCCGTCGCTCCCCGCCGGCCGGGCGCCTGCTTCTCCAGAACACCCCACCCGTGGGCGTCCTGCAGGACAGCGAGGCCCCTGCTCCCAACACAGCACCTCGGGGGGCACGGAGGAGACCTGGCCGTCGGGGCCCGGTGTCCCCTGCGGATTCTCTGTTTCGCTTGCCCCTCGGGGCTTTGCCCGGGGAGGGCTCCGTGTCCACGGCCCCCCGAGATCGCGGCGTGCGCCGCCTGGGTCTGCCGACGCCCCGACGGCCTCGGGGACAGGCGCCCCGAAGGCTGCACGGAGGGAACAACCTCATGGCAGGGTCCCCAGGGCTCTTCAGCCGCCTACGGTCCCGTTCTGGATAGTTCCACATTTCCAATCCCGGGGATGGAAACTTGGGGCGGGGAGTGTGCAGGGGGGGGCTGGGACCGCGGGCTGGTGACACCCCGGGCCCCCTGTGAGGTCCCCACTGCCGCAGACACAGACCCCTGGACACGAGGCTCTCGGATTCTGTGGTTCTTTATTTCAACTGCAGCGAGGGCCCTGGGCAGGCTCCGGGGTGCCTACGGGTGGCCTTGGCCGGGCCCCGGGTCCGCGCTCTCCAGGGGCACGCCGCCCGCGGCCTGGGGCCCCTGGGGGCTCCCCGCTGGCTTCTCGATGGCCTCCGTGCTCAGCTCGCCCGCGGGCCGGGGCGGGGGGCCCGGGTCTCTCCCCCGGGGGGAGGCCAGCGCCCTGGTGGCGAGGTTGTCCTTGACGGTCTGCAGGAAGGAGCCGACCCTGCCCAGCGTCTTGGTGGTGGGGCCGGAGCTGACCGCGGGCAGGCTCCCGGCCGGCTTGCGGGAGGCCCTGGACTCCTTGGTGGCGGGCGCGTGGCCGGGGCCCTTGTGGCCGGAGCCCCGCCCGCTGCCTGCGAGGCTTCCGTGGCCCCTGTCCTTCCTGTCGTCCCTCGAGGCTCTCCGGCTGGCCAGGGACCGGCCACTGGGGAGCTTCCGCGGGGTCTTGTCCCCCGCGGCTGTGTGGCGGCTCTCGGGGGGCCTGTGGTGCCCGGTCCGGAGCGTCCTGTCCTTCTCCCTCCGCTCCCGCCTCTCCGGTCT